CACTGATTTTCTGAAAATCGCCAGTCTCTTGGTTTTAAAGTTCAAAAATTAAAAGCTATAGTCCCTATGCATGGATTCGTAATTTTTTTCTCTACAAAAAACTAAATAGACTTTATCTCTAAAATATATTAGGGAACCCATCAATAACCAGAAATGAAGAAATTACTATTGAAATTCTTATGGTGCGTTCTTCGTCACTACCCGGTATATAAAACAGTCAGAAACATACCGAAATCTCGAAAATTTTACATTTGGAAAATGTTGTTTCTCTTTACCTTACTGTATCTTTGATTACAGCTACAGGTCCTGGTTGGTCTGAAATTGTAGCAAATTTAACTAGTTTACGAAATGTATGCCAATTATCGTGCATAGTTTTGCAGATTTAGTAGAAAGAGCTAAAATGTCGTTGTTTTTCGAGCACCACAGGTCTTTGGGAGTTGCAAACGTGAGCATAAACTACCAACAGGAACCCTAAAATAGATAGGTACTTTACTTGGATGTTTGCTATCTCCATTGACTGATCTATAAGAATAAAACAAACCGTGGATAATTTAGACAGTATCGAACCAGTACAAAAAAAAGAATGTCTCTTAAGAAATAAACCAAAAATAATTAGTTCTTAGTCAATCAAGAGCACAAGTGACAAGATATTGAGAAAGATGGCCTTGGATCAAGAACGAATTATAATTTTTCGCGTTTCAAAGTAATCTAAAAGGCAGTCATCCTTAAAACCGTCGTATGCAAAGTGATTTCGAAATATACTTCTGATTTAGATATTCATACATTTATCAATGTAGAAAGGTTAGATGACCACCGTTGGTCCTAATTAGGAAATGCGAAAACATTCATTTATCACCTTCTTACACATAATTCTGAATGCGATTGAAATTTCCATTTCCTTTGGTGCGTCATAAATAAGCGCATTTTTAACTAAATAGCTTCTTAATTTGCGTAAATAAATGCGATGTGGTAGATAATTATGTAACCAATAACATTCTTTTCCCAAGAATCATCCCTTGGTCATGTAACATTAACAAAAGGCATTCAGAATTAGTAAAGGATTCAATTTGCGATAGAGGATGTTGAGTAACAGCCTTAAGTGCAGTTAATTGGAGTGCCTTCGCATCCTTAAAACACAAAACAAATAACGCATTTTACACATTTTTCCCATTTTAGTTTAGTTTTGCAAGAATTTTGTATATGCAAGTATAAAATATTATAAAAAGCTTTGTAACTCCACAGGAAATTACGAACGGATATCAATTTTTTTTCGAAAAATTGACCTCAATTTGTGCTTGCAGTAATAACTTAAATTATCGTTATCGAGGTAAAAAAATTACCAATAATTTTTTGCTGTACTTGCGTGCAATCGTGCTTAATTGAGATACGTTCAATAATTCATTGTTTTACAAATTAAGCACGTTTATGTTATCTTTATTTCCCATTCAATCCAATCTTAATAGTCGGTTACACGATAATTGCCGGTCAAATTCTGTCGGTATTACTCAATAAGCACTAAGACTGTAAATTTTTCCGATCGACAACATTGCGCTAAATTTAATATTGACGGTAACAACGCCGATAATTTAAATGTTGTTACCTAATTTAATAACCGAAATAAAGTAATTTAATTGCCTAGCGAGTTACACTAATATAGTGGGTAGGTAGGTACGTTGTATAATCGATCCTTAACCTAAATTCGATAAGTAAACCGAGAAATGAAACTGCATGAGTATATAAATAAATAATATTTTATATTTCGAAGTACTTGACGAGTGTCATTAAGTCATTAGTAGTCGAAGATAAATTGAGTTCATAAAAAAACGCCCACTTTGTACAGAAACCATGACTTTAAAAATCCTCAAATCTTTCAGGTTTCATTACAATTCATAAAAATTACATATTCTTAGGAATAGTTTCCAATATTTGATACCTATATATTTCAACTCGTGTACGAAATTTACGACAAATACTGCGGAAGAACCTTAGATACTGAATAAAATACGCATATTTTTAAATATTGGATGAACTCACTTTAAAATTTAACATGTCATTACCTATAAGAATTTAATTTCGTCTAGTTTAGCAACAAATAAAATGAGGAAATATTAAAGTCCAAAGCAAGATCAAGTTTTCAACAAGTTTTGGGCAGGTACGTAGCTCAAATGATCTTTTCAGAAAAATTCCCCGCGTGCTTCCCTTATAACTTTTCTTACTTGATCAGACAATTTTAGGTCTTCTCCTTCAGTTTTCTTAGAATAAATCTTACCGTTCACTTTCGTGCATTTTTACTATATTGTGTAGCTACGTTTGGTGATGAACAAAAGAAAATAAGAAGTTTAAAAAGTCATTATGCACACATAAATGACGAGAGCGTATTTTCCTCCTAATAATATTAAAGCTAGGACCAGGAAAAAATACCGGTAGGCACGAGATCCTTACCCCATTCTCTTTCAAATAAGCCGCCTATCGTGTCTATACAGTTTAATGAAAAATAGTGGATAGTGGTAAATAGCATTGCGCATTGTCTACATTAGAAATTTCATTGAATACCTTCATAAATAAAACATACAGCATGCGTTAACAGTAATTTTGGAACCGGCATTAGTTTTAGTTTTATTCAAGGTGCCTACATACCTATGATATTTCGGTTAACTGCTTTCATAAATAAGCATGCGCAAAACCAAATTTTAAAATTGGTGTTAGATTTGCTTGTATTCCAAGTGCCTTGTATTAAATTTCATTTAAATGCTTCAGTAAATAAGGAAGTTGGCATTGCGCATGCGCAAAACAACATTGTCGTTAATTTTACTTATATTCGTAGTGTTTACATATAAAGTTTCATTTAAATATCTTCATAAATAAAAAATTTAGCAATCGCCAAAATCGGTTAAGTGGTTTAGAAGGAGTACGTGTGACGGACAGACGTGCGGAAGTCACAGTGCAGCCAGTAGCGGTTTTTGCACATTGAGCAAGATACGCTAAAAACAGGTTCTGAGAGTGTGAGTTTAAAAATGATCAAAGTACTCGTGTGAGACAGAAGGGATTTTAGCGCATTTTTGGTTGGCAGATCAGTGTTTTATTAGCCAGTTTTGATTCCGCCATCAATAAGATTTTGTCGAAGAGTACTACATTACCTTTGTCGGTACCCACTTCCGACATCTCGTGCAGCCGCAATTCGCGTTTGAAGTTTTGACTCCACCATTAGTAAGATCTTGTCGGGGGCTACCACATTCCCTTTGACCGTACCCGCTTCCGACGTCCCATTCACCCGCAATTCCAGTTTGAAGTGTTTCCACCATCAGTAAGATCTCGTCGGGGGACGGGGGTTACCATATACCTTTTGCCGGTACGAAGTTCCGACGTCCCGTTCACCCGCAATTCGCATTTTGGTGGATTTCGCTAAAAACCTGCCACAAAAGACTTTTGAGCACTTCTCATAGCTCGAGCTTCTATTGGCGACACGAGAAAGAGGGACAACAATTAGAGCTCTAAGAAGCTTTTGGGCGCCCAAAGTCGACTACCCCTCGAAGACGCGCGCCTTGCAAAAGGTGGTTCATCTTTCCGATGACACATTTGGAAGCAAATGGACCAAAACTGTAGATAAAGATAGGAAAAAACTGAAAAATCTCGAGGTTGGCATAACACGATCGGGGATGACGCTCAGATGTCGCCGACCCCACATCATGCAGACGGTAGACCCGTCCTTAAAGTTGTTAATTACACGGCCCCGCTAGATACATGTTCACTCGTCTTTCTACAAGCGTTCTTCTGCGAGCCCGCATTTGCTGCCAGCCAGCCAGCCGACCAAAGTGAGATTAAAAAGTTACCTTTTTACAAATAAATTTGCAAAAATACGCTAAAAAGCCCAGATTCGCTGTTGATAGTGCGCTTTCTTTGAAGATCGAAAAATTTGAAGCATACGTACCAAAAATGGTAAACTTATGAAAAACTTGAGGAACTTGAAGAAAGGGTTTGAAGCACGTGGAGAATGTGAAGAAGTTTATTCCCGAAGCATTTGAAGAATTTAAAAACGAGACAGAATCAGAGAACTTCGAATATTTCGTAGCACATAACGAATCTAAACAACGGGGTTGCCAGTATCCGAACAAGCAAAAAAATCGAAGAAATATAATAATGTTCAAGGATTTCAAAAATATATTAGATTAAGGAGGACTGAAGGAAGCCAAAGAATCCATAGAATTAGAAAGATCCGTTTCAAAATTTCTAAGGATCCAAATAGTTTGAAAAATTGGAAAGATTCCAAGAATCGTAACTATCTTAAAAATTTAAAACAAAACTTTTAAAAACTGAAATAAATCTAAGAAACTGGAATATTAGGAATCTGAAGAAATGGATGTACCTGACAAAGTGCAAGAATCCAAGGAATTTTAAAAATCTGAGGAGTAAGTGAAAACGAAAAAATTGAAAATCTGTTGAAGAGAAAGCGTTTTATAAACAAAATCAATTAATAATTGCAAAAAAAGAATGAATCAAAAAATCTGGATGGTGAAACTCCAAAAAATGAAGGATTTGAAGGATGTTAAAAATCTGATGTATTTTAAGAATCTAAAAACAGTGCTTTTCTACTTTACTTTAAATCTTGTGGTGCCCTGATCGTAGATTTGAAATGTTGGAAATTTTGGAATCGCTTAAACCGTAAATTTGAGCAATATCCTTTAGAGAGGGCTGTTGAACTTCAAGGAGGTAGTCAAAACTTTGAGCTTTGAGATGAAACGTTTTTTTGTAATCTGAATTTTTGAAATCTTTGGAATCATAAGATGAGCATGCAGAAAATGATTATTCAAAATTCCAAAAAATGTATGACTTTAATTGATCGTGGTATTTAGGAATTTGGAAATGAGTTTCGCACTAAAATTTTCCGTTGTATAAATAAATCTACTGGATTAGATACTTGGATTATGAACCATATCTAATTCGTTATCCAAGTGCATTTGATTATTCGGGGTAATTAACAAAATTTTGCTTATCTGCGTATACCGTTGTGGTTGCCGAAGGCGGCAAAATCATATAAAAGGGCTATGGCTGTTTGTTTATGCTAAATCATTCCAAAACTCACAATGAAGGTCCTACTGTTCGTTATTGTCGCCATGGCTGCAGTTTTCTGGTCTCCAGTTGCTGGTAAATATTGACTAACTTCTGAAGTTTTACTTTGCTATTTTGTATTTGGACTCTCTTGTTACTTTCATTTCGTTTTACAGCCCAATTTTGCGAAGCTCCATATTCATGTGTAAACCTTTGCGTGTTCGGTGCCGGTCCTGGAATCTGCCCGTCTGGACAGACCTGTTGCGGATTGGGATTAGGCGGAAAGTAAGGCGGACGTTCACTACCAAATTTCTGGCGATTGTATACGATAAATGGCTTTTTGAGTTAAACATTCCAATTAAAATAAATTTATAAAAGTATAATGTCTTTTAGTATTATTCATATGCCACCAAAAACATAGCTTCACATTCAAAAGAAAGCGTAGAAAACCGCGGCAATAACATTGCTCTACTTCTTTGAGTGTAGTTTACAGAATCTAGATAATCTAGATCTAGAAAAAAATTGCTATAGCTAGCAGAGATACCTTCCATACATTTGCGCATGCGCGTCCTGTCCTAAAGCTTTTCAGCTCTTTCTTTTATGTCTTAAGAATATAGTGTGTACCGAATTTGGTTCCAATAGGTTCAGCCGGTTAACGGGAAATGAGAGTACAGTCGAACCGACAGACCGACCGACCCAGATAGTCGAAATTTTGTTCGATTCATATTTCTGGTGCTTCAAAACGCGTATTTCCGTAAAAAAGTGAGGGATCATTTTTTACCCCAAAGCAATACCGTCCGAAAAATGCTACATTACTGGCACACATTGAAGTACGAGGCTTCTGTGGGGCCGAGTACTTTAATTTCCGAGTCAGGTAATGTCATTTTACTGACAAGTTTTGTATTAAATTTTACCCGACATCGTATTTTAATATAAAATTTCAATTTTTATATAGAACTTTCGATTAATGTCAATCTGTCAGTGATGATAGGAGTCATTATAGACATTTGGAAATGTAACAAATGCGGCCAGTAAAGTGACGGTGCAACCGGTAAAATCTGCTCTGCCTCTGTCATGGAAACTAAAATTTCCTGACAGAAAGTAGGCATGAAAATGAAGGTTTTAGGACGATTTTGGGTAGAAAGAATACTATGCGATCAAAAATGAGTTGCTGTCGAGTGACCTTTGGAATTTTTGTTTTGCATGGGATTGAACTTCCAAAGGCGACTCGACAACACCTCATTTTTGATCGCCCGTTATAACATTATAACGGGCGATCAGAAATGAGTTGCTGTGGAGTCGCCTTTGGAAGTTCAAGTTAAATACCATATAAACAAAAATTTCAAAGGCGACTCGACAGCAACTCATTTTTGATCGCACAGTATAAGTGTGAGAGAGATATACCTTTACCAATGTTGACATTGACAGAAGAAATTAATGTGTCGTTGATACTAGCCTACTCAAAAGATGCACGAATGGCATCAGCGCTTTTAGTTTGTTGCGTAGTCTCTCTTCACACTCATAATACTTATTGGGTTTCTTTCAAGGTTATCATAAGACAGACCGTCAATAATTCCTTTCCATCCCTGTACAGCAAGCGAGTGTTGAAGAATCAAGAATTTGGGAAAAAAAAGAACTGACCCAGAAAAAACAAGCCAACAAATTAATCCTAACTGTAAAGCAAAATTGTTAATTGTTTGGAATGACATGAATGCATATCAGACTAATTGTCAAGTAAATTTATGAAATGTCGAATCATAAGGCTGTATTAGAATTCCTAACCTCTGAGGAATTAATATTTGACACAACACAAAAAACCAACCAATACACATTATAACAAATTCGCGTAGTTTGAATATTCGGTAGCCAGTTCAAATATCCCACCCATCACACGGCGTTGTCTTTAGTTGCTCTTGGTTCAATAGGACCAAGACGTCATTACATATCGGCCTTGCATGAAAACGCTCGGAGTTAGTCTAGATCATTTCGCATAGAAAGGATAAGTACCTACATAAAACAAGTTTAAAAAGTCATTATGCAAACATAAATGACAAGAGCGTATTTTCCTCCTAATAATATTAATGCTAGGACCAGGAAAAAATACCGGTTGGCACGAGATCCTTACCCCATTCTCTTTCAAATGAGTTGCCTATCGTCTAAGTCTATACAGTTTAATGAAAAATAGTGGAGCGTATACAAATACAAATATTGAAATGGGCATTAGTTTTACTTTTATTCGATTCGAAGTCTCTACATATGGAACTTTTTATAATTGCTTTCGTAAATAGCATTGCGCATTGTCTACATTAGAAATTTCATTGAATACCACATAAATAAAACCTTACGTACAGCATGCGTTAACAGTAATTTTGAAACCGGTATTAGTTTTAGTTTCTTTTACTTATATTCGTAATGTTTCCATATAAAGTTTCATTTAATATCTTCATAAATAAAAAAGTTAGCATCGCACATGCGTTAAACCAAATTTTTGACACTGCGCATTCGCAAAACCAAAAAATATGGGTATGCACGGAATCCTTGGCCCAAGCCCTTTCAAATGAGCCCTATATCGCCAAAATCGGTTCAGTGGTTTAGAAGGAGTACGTGTGACGGACAGACGGACGGACGAAGTCAAAGTGCAGCCAATAGCGATTTTTCACTTTGAGGAAAATACGCTAAAAAAACCTAAATTCCTAAATATTTAAATTCTAGTCCTACCAGGACAACATAACTTAGAAATTTATAATCTTTCCTCTTAAACATCCGGAATCTGCTACAAGAAAAATCCTGACGTCTCGGTGGCCTCGGTCAACTTCCGGATATTCCAAAAAATTTATTACTCAACTTTTGATTAACACCTGAAATAAATCTTGGAGCCTTATAGAAAAATCTGATATGAAGACAATGACAAAAATTGATTTCGAAACACATGAAGCAAGGAAAACAAAATCCCTGCAAGAAAGAAAAGCTTACAAAACGTGTTTGGATATTATACCTCCCAGCACGGTCGAGAAATACAATTAAAAAATCTTAAAATTACTTACATTTTTTTTAAGAATCCAAATGGTTTGACCGTTAAAGGTTTGTGGTATTCAGGTGCGCTTACCGAGGACACAAAAAAACAGGAAACTTCAGTTCTGTAATAAACTGAACTCAATGACTCGAACTGGCTTGATAAATAATATGAATATGAATAATAATATGAAAATTTCGGTGGCTGTTTGGACGGTAGAAACTTTTAACTTTTAATGATAGACAAACTTTTTAGAAATATTTTACTGACAACTGCTTTGTTTACTCACACTTGAACTAACTTTTTCTGAATACAGGCAAACCGTTAAAAGAACCTTTACTATTTCACTTGACGATAACTTAAATTTAGTTCTTTTAAGTTTTAGATGAACTACCTTAAACACCGAAAAATTTAATTTTTTGCAGAATTATAACACCACCACATGCAAATATTTGTCTACAATCCCCTAATGTTTCCCAAGTACCAAGAATTCTGGAATTTCGTGATACGTTAAGAATTTGAACTTCCAAAAGTATTTTAAAATTACAGAATCACACAGATAGAAATGTATGAATTTGCCAATGATAAAGCTTATAGAATTTTAAACTCTCGTTAATACCGCAACTAAGAATTTCATCTGTCCTATTTTAGCGCATTTTTTAAGAATGAAAAACAAGTATAAATTGTGCATAACTCTTGTGCAGATAAAGCGCATTTTTTTAAACCGAAATAGCTTTTGTTTTGACGTCACCAATGGATATAT